CACACATCATCGTATCAAATATGTATCAGACGGTGTTTGGTCTAATGCGTTTTCCAAAAGCTGTTGTTTTATGGGCTAATGAATAAATCGTTATTTCAACCAGTCAATTCTTATTTTGAAATAGGAACACTATGTGTGTAGGATTATAAAACCTCTCACAGTTCATGGATGAGAACACGACAAGTCATGCAAGTTGAAATACATTGTATTATTGTCAAGCATACAGAGTAGACAATTATGTTAATATGATTAACTGAGGTCAATAGACCCCGAAAACTTGTGAATGTGAACCTAAAGTTGTATAATTTCATATTTTGAGAGGATGGTTTTGATTGACATTCAACAACTCATTCAACATTGTATTCTCCATAGGAATCATTCTTGATGATTCGGGAAGCAAAAATGCGTTATCATTTATAAGATTGTCGATGATCATTATGTTTGAAATTGTTGACTATTTGTTGGTTGATCTTTAAAGACGTCTTCTCCTCAACACAAATAACTAACACATGAAACACGATATGTTTATGTGGTCAACGAGATAAACAAGTTAACATTCTGTTAGTTCTGTTTCTTATTGTATCATGAAAAAAATTAACTTATTTAAAATCAGTCACCGCTATCTCGATGACTGACGTCATACTAAAAGAAAACACATAAATCACCACCAGTTGTGATGATTAAACACATTTCAATTACACTTGGTCACACAACAAACAAAATTGACAGGAACGATTATATTCAACAACCTTACTTCCCAGGTACACACGTGTTGTGGCTTTGACATATGACTTATTATTCAGTAATTGGTTTTGTTAGTCTGATACTGTTTGAGATGGATGGTTTCCAGTGGTTGTCCAGACAACATCAAACATCCTACTTTCTCATATTAGTAGGCAAATAAACTTTCTTCACTTATTAGTTACAATTATTGTCTCTCGAACTTCAAATTCATCGTCGTTGTTTATTTTTTCCGCCTTTAAATCCGACCTGTCCTGATGACGCTTTTGTTTAATACTGTGTACCATTTTCAGTATGTTCAAGGACTGCAAATTGACCTGATGGCCAGCTTTTCAAACATACATCAATTATTCTTTTATTTGATATTTTTAATTTGTCGAATCCCATGAACAACGTCTGGTCGTTTATCCAGGACCCCACAAATTTAAAGGTTAGTAAGAGAATTTTGACTGCCTGGTAGTCGGCTAATTTGTTAGTTACAACCCCTCTGTTAATGCATTTGTTCTCAAACGTGTTTGTGCGCTTGTATTTAAGATCGCTGATTAAAAATCAGGCACCAATATTTCGGTAACTGACGTTATGGTAAAGAAGACACCTACTTCAACATCAGTAACGATTTTTAATTTTGTGTATTTTAATTAGATTGTGATCATGCCTATCTTATTCGCCTCTATCTTGAAAGCATATTCTGAAAAGAAAAATGGAGAAGGTGAATACACCAGCACGTACGTCAGTGCGTATAACTCTTATCATTACGAGTCAACTAATCAACTGAAATTCGATAAAGCTAAGTTACTAGTTCTATAACTGCAATGACTTTCACTTAAATTCTTAATGCATGTGATAATTACAATATGTCATCATTACCGCGCTGCTACTCTATTAGTGTTTATTTAACTACTGTGAATGATGTTAATATAATTGTGAGATGATTGAAGTTAAACTTTAACGGTGTACAATATTGAGTGTTATGTCTTTATGTTCCATTGATTATACTAAGCGATATGATCGTCAATTAGACAAATCGACTTATCTGATAGGTAAAATGACTCATAAACCTATACGAGCAGCTAACATTTCTTATTTATCTATCTGAATAAGTTTTTTTCTTAACTCAGTCGGTTACGTCCAAGACGCCAGTATAAGCCTCCGCGATACAAAATATAAATTTCAGTAATACAAACAAACAAGACAGCATCATGTCGTAGCAGAAAACAACAATCATATAAGATCAAACCAAAAGTGATCGTGATTGACAGAGACTGTTACTAATGAACTGGGAATGAATTAGGAATTGTAAATCATATAATAGTAATCAACAGGTCGAATAGAAGCTTGTCCCGAAAGGAATTTGAATATATACACTTAACAGAGTTACCTAATAGTTATTCAACAAGAATACACATATAACTGTCCATAAATAATCCCTGTCAGTTACCACTTATTGAGTCTCTGTTCGGAAATAACATTGGAAAAATGGTTAAAGATTCAGGCGTTCACGTGGAAGTCTGAATTTCGTAGAATCTTGATCCAGTGTTGCATGCTAACATAAAAGGACCTTACGTTATTTACAGTATTTCAACTGAGGATCAGCTATATTAAACTAGTCATATGAATCGTGACTAGAATGTTCCATTAGTGGTTTGTGAATTGTAGTCTATGTGTTAATTATACACAGTTAGTGGGTCCATTGATTTTCGTTAAAAAACAAACATATAAAGAAAAATTCCATAATAATAGTATTGAAACTGAATAGATGATGATTTTTGTTTGTTTGCTTTCTATTGAACGCGAAGTCCATGTTGTGATGTTCTTATATAAATTTAACTGAGTTACTGGAAGAGAAAGAAAAAACAATACACTTTTGTCAGAAAACATAAAAGATTGAATCTGAATAGTTAAATGTTATCAGAACAGTTTGATCGATATATGAAGACAATGATACCACATTTGACACGTCATAATGAGGATTCGAAAAGTTATATTATATTTAAGATTGTACAGCTCTTAAACTATTTCATTTTTTATGGTGACGATTAAAGTGTAGTTAATTTGCCTAATTAATCAACCATCTTTGTAACCGATATTATGAAAAATCTCAACGGTGTTTGCAATCAGATATCAATAAGAAGCGGATAGCACAAATCAAAAAGCGTCAAACGTCACAAACGATTTTGAATTACAAAGGTGAATCTATGTATGCAAACGAATACAGAGACAAATTTGCAGTCAAGTCGAATAAGACGCAGTTAGGCAAGACAAAGACTCATAATACAATTTGTGTACGTATATACATGAAAAAGAGAATGAATCATCGAGTAATGTTGAAGCGTTCAACATTCGTAGCTAGAGTCTATCATATGATCAAGCGTTCATGTTGACGAAGAGACGATAAAATTCATAAAGCTTCAAATAATTATGTTATTTGTTACTGTTCAAATAACATTGTCTGTCAAACATTTATTAAATGTGTTCACTTACTGACCAAATCTTGTTTCTCTCATGCAGCATAAGCCGACCACCAGCATTCTCAAACTCATTCTTCCTTTGACAATCATTCTAGTTAATTTTTCTCATGTCTGTCTCCATTTGTCGATGCAATGTGCTATTTGATTTTCGTCTAATCGTTTGGCTTTTCATTGCTGAATCCAGATGAAGTCTTACCTTGCGAATCAGTCGGATGTTTTTCTTCAATGTGCGTCCTATCTACCCCCAGCGCCTCTTCCTGATGTAGTCTTTCGTTGGGATCTGGTTTGTTCGCTTCCACAGTGTGTTGTTGCTAATAGTGTCTGACCAACGGATCTGGAGTATTTTCAGTAGACAACTGTTAATAAACACCTGTAACTTCTGGATGATGGCTTTCATGGCTCTCCAGGTTTCGGCACCATACAGTGGAAGCGTCCTGATATTTGTATCGAAAATACAGAATTTAATTTTCGTTGACATTTGATTTGTGTTTCAGATGTTTTTTAGTTGTTAATATGCTATTCTTGCTTTCCGAGTCATGCCATCACATCTGCATCAGATCTACTGTCATCATCAATTATGCTGAACGGACTAGTCTATAAAAGTGCTTAACCGAAATGAACCATTTATTTATATTCGTTTATTTAAACACAAAATATTGGTGCGGGAGGGGGGCAACAAATACATACGCGCCACACAAGTCACTTCATTTACTACATGTTGTGAACGGAAAATAAAGAATCCCCAGACAACTACGAAAGCCATTTTCTTGGAACGTTAATTCATTTCATTCAAACCCTGTAAAAAATTTATATTTATTTTTGTCCCTATCTTATTATACATAACATGAGCTTTCGTTCTATGTATCATTCACTACCATACCCTTTTTTGTTCCGAAAATATTGTAATTTAAACATAATATTTTGCACCAAATTTCTACCCTAATTCCCAGTTTCGGACATACTGTTTTTTCAAATTATCGTACGTCGTGGTCAAGATATTCACTTATTTATTCATGCACATTTTTGTACTAATCCGAATTCAGAGAATTCAGAGAATCCAGAGTTCAGTGTTCCAACTGTCTTGTCTTCTCTCACTTGCGTGCTTGCCAACCAATCAGGTTCTAGAATAGTTTTCTCTCTACCCGATCTCGAACTCACGCATACTAGACTCAAGTTTAAGCCGCTCGGCCTATCGCGTCAAGGTCATAATTTAGACTACACAGATCAAGGTCAAGTCATAACAGTATCAACGGGGTAAAAGCGATTCAAGGTCATAACACTACACTTCAGGGCAACGTCTACAGCTGTTAGTTTGGTAGAAACGGAATCAAAAACATTACTCTCCCTAAAGCTACAGTATAACCTTTCTCACGACGGCGTATTCATATGAAATCTAGGTTCAGGTTTCTCAACGAATACGTTCAACAACCACATTAAATAATGAAGTATATACTGACGGTGTGGAAAGTGTGACGTTTCCGACCACAGAAACTAAGGAAAATGTTAAAAACGTAATATGTGAACATCATTATTGTTTTGATGGTGCATCAGATGACGTCAGTACTCTGTACAGACTTCAGCCAACTATCAAGCACACCAAAGCGAATTGATCATTCTCACTCCGAGGTGCAAACACTCATTCGATTACAATGATTTAACAGAAAAATGAGTTTCCTTTATTTCTAACTAATCACTTATTCCGTACTTATGTACAAAGTTAACCTGACCAAAGTTCAATGAAAAAAATATATACTCATAAGTTAACAAAGTTGATTAAAAGTAATTAGTAAATTTCATTATAAATTTGTGTAATTTTATTGAATCATTTTTACTGATTATAAGAATTATTCCATGTGAGTTCGTTAATTTATATTGAATGGTGTGAATCAACCAAGATTTAAGATTTGTTCATACGTTTTATTATGAGTACCGATAATAACGGTTGAGGTTAATGTTGTAAGGTAATTACAACAAAGAACTCTTAGCACAAATGATTCCAAAGAGTTTCCTTTACAAACACATGCGAAATTCTTATAGATTCTCATGTATTAGTGTCTCATTCTTCCAGAGTATGTTGAAGTTGAGAGATGTGATTGAAATATATGTTTAATATTTGGTAGGATATCACTTTTCAGCTGTTTGCAAGATTTTTATGTCTATAAATAACCGTGTTTTTTAATGAACTTGATATTGTTTGCTTGTATCTTTCCGCTGTTTTTTAGGATAATAATCGATCAGTCGCTTGTTAGCACATGTTCATCCATTGCAAATTACGTCGATATTGCCTTAAGTTACAAGCTTTATTAGCAAAGACGGATAGTGGCTTGCAAAGTATGAAACACGCTTCCTGGGTTCTACTACTAGCCATCATCCGTCTTTGCTTATAAAATCATGTTCATTATCATCTTGATAGTCTTACTATACAACGTACTTCAGCGCTATTCACATTGCAACAAAATCTTTCCTGAAAATCATCGGTACGAATAACGGAGAACAGTAAAGAGTAGTCACTGTAAATGTCGAACGATGCGATAAATATTTAGCTTCTCCATGTAAAAAGACAGGTTGAAAACTTTCCATGATAATAATACTACAAGAGAAGATGGAGAAAAACAAAGCGGAAATTTTACACCTCTATATGGGACGTTTGACATTGGTTTCATTACGACATATCTAATAGTACAAACGTCATCGTGATGACACAGGTTGTTTGAGGTACAAATCCTCGCTACTAATGGACATAGTGGATTCATTAGACAACAAACAAAGCGCTTTCATTAGCAAACGGGAAGACAGTCACCCTTAGATTGTATAACATCCACTTTTTTAACTGTGTTCAAATAACCACAAGTTTTTCGTACACATATCATTTGATTTATTTTTTTGGTTAGCGTTTTGTAGTGAGTCGGTTTTCTACCGTATAAACTCGCTAATCCCATGTTCTACTAGTTTACTTTATCCGTGCATGGGACCGGCAGTAACCTCAGGTGGTCTCCAGGTGAAGTTAGAAATTTGTCACAGTGAAGTAAATAGATTAACGCACGAAACAACATGCTTCCATTGAATATTATTTATTGAGATGAATGAATTGGTCGATGTTAACAATCTTCACTAGACTGAGCGTGCTAACGTTATTGACCTTAATTCACTGCGTGCAGTGAGCAGCTAACGTGAATATAATCAAATAAATTTTATTCTTCGGTTGATCTTGTTTATTATTCTCGTAATGGTGATGCAGCAAACTAGTCAGATGAATATCAAATTCTGTCCAAGAATTTGTAACTGTTGAAAAATTATGAAATAGGCATGTGAATGAAAATCTAAGGCTAATTAATCTAGACTTGTTGAAATACAAAGAAATAAGCATGTGAAAGAATATTTAAAGTTTTACGTAATCCACGAATTTGAATTACTTTATCACCGTGTTATTGTGAATTCTTACTTATTTCAGTCAACGTTGGAATTGGAGATTGGGAAAAGGGAATTTTCAAAGGTGAACTGTTCACGAATCGTAGTTGAAGTTACTTAAAACATGTCAATATTTGCATTTGATAATGCGTCAACAAAAAACAATCAAACGAATTCTACTTGCATGTAAGACATTTATCATTCCATTTGACAGATTCAGCTTACAGAGTCTTTTTAACGTGTCGAATGAAATTTGTTCGAACAGATCTAATTACACGTAAGACATTTATCATTCCATTTGACAGATTCAGGTTTATTTGTGATCCAAATCCAGTTGTTTTCAGTGGTATCATATTAACGTAAGTAATATATGTTTTAAATGCATGTGTTACGCAAAAGTCACAACGACAGTTTTCGGAGTAATAATCTTCAATAAACCGAATAATACAGTGAGATAAGACACTTCATCCATGTTTAACAGGAAACAAAAAATTATTGATTTCTTCTCAGTGGAAAACATTCTTATATTGTGTTACATCACATCATGACAAAGGGTCATACTGAAATGCATAAATTGAGATATTCACGACAATCAGTCATTAGATAAACCACTCATCTATTACTTTACATCCATTACTTGAAAAACGTTTGAAAATCTCGATCTGAGACAATCAGGAACTTGTTCAATGATTTCTTGCACACTGGTTGAGCAGAACATTTGTTGCACATAATATGGTCTACTTTATCTGTGAGATTATGATATTATACATTGTTTTCTTTCGTTTTTCAGATTGATCGGATTAGTTCTTGGATTAATGATAATAATTATTAGTAAACTACATACACCAACCAAAGAGAACATTATTTTCATCGTGATAACCGTCAGTTGAAAATATTTTTAAAATCACATTGCAGATATTTCCTTCCAATCATCGATTAAATTTATTGTAGATTTTTTGTTAAATAATGTAAATGTTATCATGTTTGTTTGATAAGGACTATCAAGATAAAAGAATGTTTGAAGGTTGACTTGAACAGATGATTTTCTATGTTGAATGTTTATATTCCACTCTGTTCAGAGATCCAGTTTCAATAGTTTCAATGATTTACTTGTGATCCGGTAGTTCATGAGCTATTAACTGGTAAAAATAATATAATATTAAAAAGGTATCTGTCCATGTTCTTAGATAATTCAGAAACACGCAGATGTGGATATACATAAAACTGGTAAATTGTAACCTCATCTTCGTTTGTTGTAATAACCATTTGCAAGGTGTTGAATGTGTTGTAAACACAGAATAAGTAAATAAAATGGATTTCTGCCAGTTTACTTTCTATAATCATCCACACACTTCATCTATCATCGAACTATCTGTCGTAGTTGTTCGTTTACTCAAGTTATTATAATTCACACCATTTTGGTGATAACTATCACATGACATGATCATGTCTACTGTATAAGCGTATTACCTTTGAAACTACTACATGTTTTTCATATGTCAGACATGGATAAGCATACCTTGTTTTGTGCTTGTATCTATAAATACTCAGTTAAAAGCAATTCAGTTGAATGTAGAACAGTGAAGATTATTCTTTAAACTTCTGAAATGATAATAACTTTACACTACTTTTTCGATATTCAGATGATATTTTTAGATGTCGGTGTTGCATTACTAATGTCAGTTGTAAAATGGTACGAACAAATTATTTCTGTAATTGTGGCTTCCGTGCTGTCGTTCATAGTCATTTTATTTGGTGAAAAGCAACACGGTTCAGAAAGGAAATGGATGAGATTCTTGTTTGCGTTGTTTGGTGCATTTGCTGTAACTGCCTTCATCCTTTTAGTTTTGTGGGCGATACTAAAAGAGGTAAGGTTTTTTATTCGAAGATTTTCAATAACCCGTAGTGATTGCTATTGATTTGCCAATGGTTTTCTCGGATTGTAACAGTGTTCGTAATAACTGTTTAGACGTGTGATGAATTGAGGTGTATTGTTTTCTTTTCTTCATTTAGAAATATTTACTTGTTGCAAATATGGTTTGTTGGTGCTTCGAAATGATAATTGTAAGTTCTGAATAAATAAGTAAATTCAAGGACAAATAACCGTTCATTGATAATTATGCATCCAAAGATATCGTTCTGTAGAATTTAGAAGTTTGAAGCATTATTGTTTTCTTTTCACAACATTCACAAGCATTCGTCACGAAAAATCTCGAAGGAAACATTGAAAAAAGCAAAGCTCAATATTAGAAAACAAGAAATGGATTGATGGAGTATATATCTCTTAATTTTTCTCCTTAACTGAATGGCTCAATTTATATAATGCTCTTTCATACAAACGATCATCTGTAAATATTTGACAGGCCAAAATACAAGACGCTCACTGTTCATTTGTTTCGTATAAAGGTTGCGAAATAACTAAGATGTTAAACTTATATTTAAAGATATTTCACTGATTCATATATTGATAAACATGCATTGATAATAAAATGATCATATACGTTTTAACAATTACAGGTGTTTTTATGGTCAATATATTATCTGGAGAGTTGCCGCAATCTTTTCTATAGTGTTTTCCTATTGGCGTATGAACATATCGTACTTGTCATTATTTTACTATTTTCTTTAAATTCAATATTTGACTGTAATTGAGATAATGGAACTCTGAATTAGAAAATGATTAAACACAACGAATAGATGCTGTTACAAAGAGTGTTTAAATTAGTTTCCAGATATTCATGTAAAATATTTTGAAGATTATTGTAAACTATTCTAATATTTATTGATATGTCTTGCTTATTGAACGCTATATTTGGTTCCTACGCCATTCGTGTAACCCACAAACTGAAACTACATATCGATCTTAACACGAGAGTAAAGGTGAGAAGTACTTCACTCCAAAAGTTCATTCTGGTACAGAAAATAAAGGATTTGTATAATATTTTAGATCCAATCGAAAACTCTACACGTGACTTTCCACTTTCTCCATGTTTCTGGCTAAACCAAAAGTGAACGCTGATTAGATAAAATGATTTTTGGTGTTTTCCTGATGTTTTCTTGTCTCTTGCGAGAGGTTTTCTGGATCACCGCAACATTTAAAAAAGTTTTCTCTTAAATATACGTTCATGTGTTACGGTAAATGTCGGGACTGAAAGTAGGCATCTAGAATGCAGACAGACATTGTAGCACATTTTGACTGTACTCGAGAATACATTGACCAAATTGACTGTAATGATTTGTTCGATAACCCGTCTTCTTAAGTGCACGCGTGTCGTGACTTTGACAATTGGCTTATTTTTCATTGATTAAGTTTCTTTGTCTGGCACCATTTAAGCTGGATGGTTTTCATTATTTGTTTAGACTACATCCAGCATCTCATTTCCACATAGGCGTATGCGAGAAAAATGTCTTCTCATATTAGTTGCACGTTAGTTGTACGTTATACTGAGAGAAAAACCCTACTTCATCACCAGTTATGATGATTAAGTATACGTATTTCAATTGAACTGTGGACACGTATCATATTTGCACCAATCTCTAAAGCATACTTTGAAAACAGAAGACTGTGGGTGCTCAATAAGCTGTTAGAATATATATATATATGGATTGGTTGAAGTTAGACATTAACACCGTTGGATGCCGGCTCAGTGGTCTAATGGTTAAGTGCTCGCGCGCGAAGCCAGTAGGTCCTGGGTTCGAGCCCCGGGTGGTGCGGGGTCGTGGATGCGCACTGCTGAGGAGTCCCATACTAGGACGAAACGGCCGTCCAGTGCTTCCAGGTTTTCAATGGTGGTCTAGCTTCAACTGACTCATGATTTCAATCTGTATATATATATATATATATATATATATATATATATATATATATATATATATATATATATATATATATATAATGGTCCAAAAATATTCCCTAGCAGTTAATAATTATTGACTTTTTGTTCGGACATAACATTGGACCAATGGTCAAGGATCCATTAGTTCACATGCAAGTCTGAATGTCGTGATTATATGCTTCAGTGTTGTATGCTAACACGAAACTATCTTACAATATTTATCGGATTTCAACTGAGGTTTAACCATAATCAATTGGTCATATGAATCGTGAATAATCTTTAATCTTGACTAGATTATTCCCTTGGAAATATGTGCATTGTAGTTCATTTGTTATTAATAGATAGTCAGTGGGATCATTGATTAGCGTTATATGACAAAAGTATAAGAGAAGCATATGTATAATATAGAACCTGTATTATTTATGTTGATTGATTGATTGTTTGTTTTTGTATTGAATGCTAAGTCCATATCGTGATTGTCTTGGATAAATTTTACTGAGTTACTGAGGGAGAGTTAGAAAACAACTTTTGTCGGACAATATAAAAGATTGAATAAGAATAGTTAAATGGTATCAAAACAGTTTGTTTAATAAGAGTTAATAACGATACCACGTTTTTCGAATAAGAATGAAGATTTGAAAAATTATATTACAATTACAAATGCATAGTTCTTAAAATATTTTAACTATTATCGTGACGATTACACCGTGGTGAAAATCTTCGTTGATCAATCACCACTTAAACCGTTATCATCATAAATCTCAACGGCGTTTGACATCAGAAAGTAATAAGAAGCAATTTATACAGTTTCTTAACGAATACCATAAATCAAGCGAACTCAATTTAACTTGCTATGAATACATGGAACTTGTGCTCATGATGTCCTTCCGAACAATGGTGAAAGCTCCATGAACAAATCATCCATCTCAGAGAACGAAACTACATTGGAATCATCCACCTGTGATTAAAACCTTTTCCATTATCTGAAAACTAACAAATACCTAATATTCGTCAATGATTTTATGATCACTGTAATACTGCTCTCTAGTATTCTCTCACCTCATTTTCCACGTACAAGTAAATATGAGAAAGTTGTATTTGACCAATTGATGATTATGTCGTCAATAGAGTTTATCATTTCTCCATTTCATTTTATCGATCTATCAAAAAGAACCCAAAATAACACATTTAAATCGGTAGTAAAACATTGGAAAATCTACCTGTAGCTCTCCTGGATTTACTGCCGGACCCAAGCCCGCTTAAAAAAAGAGAGTTGAGCATGTGGTTAGCAACCCCACCCTGTAGAAAAATAACTCTTTAAAAAGACGCTAACCAGAAATATTAATTCAGATCATTTAAACGCAGCCCTGTGAGTTAGAAGGTCTTCATTTATAAGAGTTATGAGACCTCCTGTTGAAAGCCGAGCTCTTTTAGAAGCCTCGAAGTCGGCACCACTTCGAACAACTAGGGTAAAACGTTTTATAGGTACATGGAATATATGTAAAATGTGAGAGACCTGGAAAAACATTCGATTAGCAACGGAAATGAGAAGATACAACTTGACGGTACTGGGAATCAGCGAATCTCATTTGGGGCCAAGCTGAATGGAAAAGGCTAAATATAGGAATGATGTTGGTGTACTTTGAACGCGAAGAAGAAAATGCCACACACACCCAAAAGTTCCTCTAATGCTGTAGAATTTGCCACAAAATGCACTTCTGGGATCGGAGTCTTAGCGATCCTGAATCATCTAAGCATCTTTTAAAACAAGGAAGAAAGGGATCACAATGAAACATACCCAATGTTATGAACGCAATAATAATAGCAACGATGACAATAAGCATCAATTCTATGGAAGGCTGCAATCAATCGAAGAGAAGTGCTCAAGTAAAGACCTCACTTTTCTGATTGGAAATTTTAACGAAAAATCTGGAAAAGACTACAACTTGCCAAGAGGTTCTATGTTGAAAGAAACATCGTCATAAGTAGTGGATCACTATGGAATGGAAAGGAAGAATAAGAAGTCAGGAAGTAAGAACTGCCAAACAAAAGAGTAGAAATTCAAAGAACGAGCTGAGTACATAGAATCAAACAAGAAAGTGAAAAAGATCATTGAAGCCGGCAAGCAGAAAAAGGTTAAAGAACTAGCAACGATCTCGGAAAACGCTGAAAGAGATGGAAACATGAAACAGCTTACGATACAACGAAGAAAATAGCAGGAAAATATAGTAAACCACAGAGACCGGTCAAAGACAAAGAAAGCAGGAAAATAAATGAAATTTAACGACAGCAGAACAGATGAGTAGAGTACTTCGAGGAATACTCGAATAAACCGGCTCCAATGAATCCATCGGACATTGAAGCAGCACATACAGATCTTCATATAAATGTCAATCCACCAACGACGGAAGACATCAGAATGACTATCGGACAAATCAAGAGCGGGAAAGCTGCAAGACTCGACAATATTTCAGATGGAGCACTGTAGTCAGACGTCGAGGTACCTTCAAACATACTCTATTCTATACACAAAAACATTTGGAAGGAGGAACAAGTGCCGATGAACTGAATGGAAGGACACTTCGTCATGTTTCCAAAGAAAAGAGATCTGAGCAAATGTGAAAACTACTGAAGCATTGAGCGACTGACGTTATCAACGAAATTCCTCAACAGTAAGTCGCTAAACCAGATGAAAGATGCAGTAGACAACTTTGAGATCAACAAGCTGGATTTCGTAAGAATCGGTGAAGCACAGACCAAATTGTGACACTACGGATCATCGTCGAACAATCAGTTGAGTGGAACTTATCACTTTACATCAAGTTGATTGATTATGAAAAGTCATTTGATAGTGTAGATGGATGAACGTTGTAGAAAGTCCATTGACATCATGAAGGTTCAAAAAAGATTGTCAAAATTATTTGGAGCTCATATAACGGATTGTTGAGAAGCTGACAGATGCATTCCAAGTAAAGACTGGAGTAGAACAAGGCAGTCTAACCTCTCTTCCTCTTTCTTCTGGTGGTTGACTGGATTGTGGAGAGCTGGACATCTGTAACAAAACACGGAAGCAGTTAGACGATTTGGACATCGCGCATGACCCATACTACCTATCGCACACGCACAAACAAATGCAGATAAAGACGGTCAATGTGGCAGCACTTTGTGCATCAGAAGGCATGAAATACAACACAGGGAATAACAATGCGATCATTCATAATGGCGAAACTCTGGAAGTTGTAGAATTCTCTTAATACCTGAGAAGCTTCGTCGATGAAACAGGAGTTTCTGATGCAGACGTTAAGGCGAAGATTGGCAAAGCAACAACAACAATTCTACAATTGTAGAACTCATAAAACTTAAAACAACTTTTAACCAATGTCAAAGTCAGAATCTTCAACATCATTGTCAAGGCATTTCCACTGTACGGAGCTGAAACTTAGAGAACTATAACAAACATCGTCAAAAAGTAATAAGTGTTTTCTAACAGCTGTCAACTCAGGATACGCAATATTCATTGGCCGTATACCATCAGTAACAGCCTTAACTTGGAATCCTAAAGAGAAACGTAAAAGAGGAATGCAAACAACAAATTACGTCGGGAAATAGAAACAGACATGAAAAGATGAAAAACAACTGGAAACAGTCGGAAAGGATTGTAAAGGACAAGGTTGGATGGTGAATGAGAGTGAGCGGTCTATGCTACTTCATGAGGAGTATTAGGCGTAAATAAGTAAGTACAACATTGAAGGTGATAAATTAGAAATATCATATAGAAGAATTATTTTTATCCTATTACTATTGTTGAACATACTCTAACCTGAAGTCTAAACAATCTGATTTTTTCTAAATAAAGCTTTATTTTAATAATATCATTCATTAGACAATTCGCACCATATTAGTTCGAATAACACCACATTCTCATAATAACGTTAGGCTTTACATCGCTATGTTTATTCATAACTTGAATATCCATATTCAATTTCGTTATCTCTTTACTTTTTTAAGATTTTATTTGTCGGTAACACTATAATTTATGGACGACTTTTGAGCAACACTATAGTTGTGTTGAGAGTGTCCACCAAATAACTAAAATCAAATCACGGTTACAAATCTGTGTGTGAAATTACGATTATGATTCACAGTTGCTGGTCAAGGTTGTCAATTACATTAGGAATGTTCATCAAAAACTGACATCAGCTGTAATGCCAAATGAATGATTGAATTTCGCACCAAAATCCAAGACATGTTATCTTATACCTGATTGATTCGTCCATAGATTATAGTTTTGTCACTGAGTCCTACAGATATTCTAATAGTAACGTGTGATAATGACACCTTCAGAATCTTATTCTGAAGGTGTCAATGTTAATAAAAATATGTTCAGAACAAAGACAACTTGGCTTGAAAATTTTATCTATTTTCAAACGTAACAAAAACAATTTGATTGGCAAAACAATAATTTAAAGGATTAGAGTCATGTAGTGTATTACACAAAACATACCGATCAGTATTCAGTGTCTTATGGAAAGGAATCAAGAAAATTGTGAGTCACATTAATAAAACAGGATAATTACGTTCTCCATTTGGCAGGTCACAAGCAACAGGAATAGACGCATCACACCAGATCGATGTGGTGGACTTTTAAGCAACGATGTGATTGGTAAGTTATGAATATAATTAACAATGTTCATTGTCGATTATCGGTAGTTCAGTGGGTATAAAAAATAAAAATTTTGATGGAACACTCAAATAGACGTTTTGCCGATGTTATCGTTGAAAAAAGTGATGGAATTTCCATAAACAAACTATTCAGCTCTGAGAACAAAGCTGTATTGAAATCATCCACTTGAGATACAAATCTTTACCACTATCCCAAAATCATATGGGCGAAGTATGCTTTTCGTTGCTCGAAATAGGGAGGATTTAACTAAAAACAGGCTTCCAATCGAGACAAATGTATTTTCTCTACAACTGCCTTCATCAACATATTCTGCCAACACGTATATGATGCAGACCTTCAATCAGTTACCCAGTACGATAGAAAATTATTCCGCGAAAAAGAACAATCCCTTAAGTAGTTTGTTGATTTGTCAATTCACAGTTCTCCTTCTTTTTAATGTTTTATAGATTATTTTAGCCACGTAATATTTGCTGAGGCAGATTAACGGTCAGCATTCTTACGGTTAACATTGGAGCATTGGAACATTGGACCGAAGCTGCTACCTTGACGTGGTGGTCGGGCTTGCCTATCGTGATGACCCAACCGAGCTATATTGGCTGGAACATGTGTTCCTGTAGGTTCTACCATGCCAGGCAGGTCGATTGGTGAACGGTAAGACTAAAAGCAGCAACTCAAAGTCTGAGGGCGAAGTCGTACTGCTGACTGTACAGAGGTGTGACAGCAGTAAGGTGTTTCCTTCGGACGATCAGCATGACAGCGATGCTGCCTTCCCACAAGGAGGGGTGGGGTTGGAAAAGGTCGACCCTAAAAATGTCACACCTCACCTTACCTCACGGATTTCCGTCTCCGGCGGTAAGGCCATCTGAAGAACGGAGCCAACACGTCAAAAACCTTCTACAAAAAGGCCGTGCGCGACCGGCCTCAAGCAGTTGTCCCTTGGGCTCTGCGGTCACGCTCCCATGTCGTTAAGACCAACACTAATCCAATTTCCTTTTCAGGTTCCTCAAGAAATACCCTTCCACGGTGTGGGCAGCCGGGAAGTGACATCAGCCCTCATACCCGTAACAGCACGCGAGACCAAGTTGGTCACATTCAAATCCTTCCTACACCTAATGCCTCTCTTATCTCCATGACCAACCCTCCTCACGTCTCTTTATTACATCGCACCGCTAGGGCAAACGATTCGAGTACGTGGAACGTTATTCCTGGTCTCCTGAAACCACGCTCTAAACTACACGTAGGAGCTTTTAACGTCCGAACACTGTGCCAAATAAGACAAGAAGCTTCCTTAGCTAGAACTTTAGAATCTCGCGCCATCAATTTGTGCTACGTCTCCGAAACGCACACACAGGATCCGAGTAGCGTCATTCATTTGACCTCACCATGCCAAAATAAAGAACCGACTCGATTTACGCTTCGTGTATCTGGAAGCCCTGATTCTGCTTCCCGTGGCCTCGCCGGCGTAGGTATAGCATTGAGTCCTAGGGCAGAACTAGCTCTCTTAGAGTGGATCCCAGTAGACAGTCGTTTGTGCGCTGTCCGACTGAACGGAACAGTAAGAATCCGGAAAGATAGGGACACTCGTCGTTGCCTCTTCGTCGTCTCTACCTATTCTCCCACTGACTGCAGCTCAGATGATGTAAAAGATGAGTTTTACAGAAAGCTTTCGGACCTTCTCCGAAAAGCTAAGCGCTCGGATGTAGTAATAGTGGCCGGTGATTTTAATGCTCAAGTAGGTAAACTAAGCGATAAGGAAAGACACCTGGGTGGATCTTATAGTATCGTGGCTCAAAGAACAGATAATGGCGACCGTCTGTTGCAGCTATGCTCAGATAACCGCCTGTTCCTTGCAAATACTAACTTTAAGCATAAGGAAAAACATCTTTTAACATGGAGACCCCCTAATTCGTCCCAACGATGGACCCAAATAGATCACATCGCTATCAGCCACCGATGGAGGGGCTCGATAGAAGACTGTCGCTCATTCTGGAGCACATGCCTAGATTCAGATCATGCTCTAGTACGAGCGCGTATTTGCCTGCGTCTTACTGGACGTAGGAAAAACGCTGCAAGGAAACCTCTTAGGGGCCTACTTAATGATAGTCAAGCTAAGAGTATATTTCAGGAACAACTAGGAAAAGAGTTAGACAGCCATGTATGTGATGCCCACCCCGAGGCAGCATGGAATGATATCCGAAAAGCTGTGGAAACAGCAGTGATATCTGTTAGTAAGGTAAACCACAAGGTTAGGAAGCAACACTGGATTTCAGCAGCATCTATCGCACTGATAGATGCTCGGAAACTCATTCCACCTGGCTCTGAACATAGTGAAGAGCGGAGTCAGCTTAAGCGCAAACTGACAAGAAGTCTACGCAATGATCGCGAACAGTGGTGGGTAGCGAAAGCAAGAGAGATGGAAAAGGCAACGGCAATAGGTAATAGCAGACAATTGTTTAGACTCGTTAAGGAAACCGGAATTAGGAACCCGACTGTTAGCGAAACAATCTCAGAGAAAGATGGACATATTATTCATTCTCAATCCAGGAGATTGGATCGATGGGCAGAATACTTCAGGGATCAGTTCAACTGGCCTTCAGCCACACTTCGGTTTCCCACGATCTCCAGTCAACCTGAATGGCAAGTTAATGTAGGTCCTCCGTCTCTTTATGAAGTTGAAAAAGCCATAGGAAATCTGAAACGAGGGAGAGCAGCAGGCCCTGACAGGTTTACTCCTGAGATTTTTAAGGATGGTGGTCCAGTATTAGCAATGAGATTAACCGAGGTCTTAGGTAGAATTTGGGAACTGGACGTAATCCCATCTGACTGGTCTCAATCACTGATTGTACCAGTTTATAAGAAAGGACAAAAGTCCTCTTGTGACAATCACAGAGGAATCAGTTTGACTAATATAGTGTCTAAAATATTAGCTTCAATAATACTTCGACGCCTAATCAAAGCTCGTGAAGAGCAAACTAGAGAAAACCAGGCCGGTTTTCGACCTGGACGTGGTTGTATAGATCAGATATTCACACTACGTCAGGTTCTAGAACACAGACACACATTCAGACACCCCACAATGGTAGTATTTCTCGACATTAAGGCGGCATTCGACTCTGTTGACCGTGAGGTTCTATGGCAGTGTTTGTCACTGAAAGGAGTACCAAAGAAGTACATTAACCTTATAAAGGCTCTCTACTCGAACACAACTGGTAGAGTGAGAGCTTATGGCGAACTGTCATCAGAATTGATTACCTCAAGTGGTGTTCGTCAGGGCTGTCCACTCTCCCCATTCTTGTTCAACTTTGTCATTGACGTACTTTTAGAGATAACACTCTCCTCATCTAAATTTCCGGGGGTTGAACTTCTACCGGGAGGTTCACTTGTTGACTTAGAATATGCCGATGATATAGTTCTATTTGGTGAAGACTCTGACAAAATGCAGAGTCTTCTGACCACTCCAAGCAACAATGCAAGCATGTTGGGGATGCGATTCTCTCCCTCGAAATGCAAAATGTTGCTTCAGGATTGGGTTACATCGACACCCGAACTAGTGATAGGGAGTGAAGTAGTTGAGTGTGTCGACCGCTTCACTTATCTTGGAAGTCTCATCAGCCCTTGTGGTCTGGTGTGTGACGAAATCTCAGCACGGATACAGAAGGCTCGACTAGCTTTTGCCAACTTGCGTCATTTATGGCGTAGGCGAGATATCCGTCTGTCAACCAAAGGACGTGTTTACTGCGCAGCAGTTCGTTCCGTCCTACTTTATGGCTGTGAAACATGGCCGGTAAGAGTAGAGGATATTCGTAGGTTACTAGTATTTGATCATAGGTGTCTTCGAAGTATTGCTCGTATATCCTGGGACCACCGAGTAAGTAACGCAGCTGTTAGGAAACGGGTACTAGGTAAGGATGGCAAATCAATTGATGAAGTAGTGAAACTTCATCAGTTGAGATGGCTGGGACACGTGTTACGTATGCCCAACCACCGACTACCTCGACGTGCTATATTCAGTGGTATAGGAGTAGGTTGGAAGAAAGCTAGGGGCGGCCAGACCAAAACATGGCACAAATCCATGAAGTCACTGACAAGTGGACTGAGTCATGTTGGTAGGTGTAGACTACCTGGTTGGGGACCGCGAGATGATAGCAACCGATGGTTAGAGACCCTGAATGACATGGCTCAAAATCGTTTGCAATGGCGCAGGTGCATACACTCTCTATGTTCTCCCAAATTCTAGTTATCTGAATTCTTCATGCCCCTTTTTTTTCCTCTTTCCAAATTTATTTCACTGGATTATACTCGTTAAATAACATCTCCAAACCCTAATCTTCCCGATTACTGCTTATACTCTTGTTACCTCTACCACTACGGGATTTGAATCGACCACTGCATCTCTGTGCTAATGTGGTATGGCAACTCGAACTGATGTACGTACGTACTAAGTTCTACGTTGTTACTGACTGACTGACTGAACTATAATTCTTTATGCAGCGTTCCCAATAGTAAAAATTGTGGATAAAAACATAAATAGAAACAAATGATTGTTTTAAGTGTCGTATGCCTAATATGTTTTCAAGCATAGATTACACTATCAAATGACTATCAGCTAAGTGGATAACGCCCTATCGTTTGATACGAAAGGTACTGCGTTCTTGTTACAGGGTCATCATCAACTCTGAGTATTAAGTACATCCAGCTGACGAGTCCGAAATACGATGTAACGCACGTCCTCCAGTCCATTGCCAGTCATCACCCATCCATGCTTATAATGCTTCTTACTGAAGGCAATATCGAGGCAACGCTCACAGTATGCCAGTGAGAGCCTGATCAAACGCAGACCTAACAAAAAAACGCAAAAGTTGAAATAAACTAAATCAAGTGAATTTATTGTCGCTCTCGATCCATACAACGTTTCATAAAATTATCTCAGACGGTTATCACGAATGTCATCATATTAACCGATCAATTTAACATTTTGCTACAGCTTCTTAAGATCTAAAGGATATTCTATTTGACGTTGTTGATAGGAATTTTCCTAGAATACGGTCTGTTCAATCTATTATAATTTTGTGTGAGACATGAATTCTATGTGTTAATTTGGATTAAAAATATGGAATTGAGTAAACTTCCTTTTGTGTACATCAATCTCAGTATTTCTCACATGTGATAAACACAAATGATGAATATTAAATATGACAAGAAGAAGGGTTATCATGTGAAAAATGATTCATCAATATGGAACATTCATATCTGGTGGTATTCACGTTATGTTTAATTCTAGCTGAAAATTGTTTTGCTTTTATAATAGACAGAGTGAACCTTATTATTTGAAATGCTACTTGATTCATGAGAGAATACTTAACTTTTAGTTATGTTCCACGTCCAGTTGTTAAAATCAATTAACTTGACTTACACAAATTATTGATTTCCCCCATCATAGAAATCGAACTGTTCAATTACACTTGATATTAAGTAGATGAACAAATGGAATTCAATAAATGAATTCGATGATATTTACATCGTTATTACATACTGTATGATAATTGAATATTCATTCATTAGATAGAACATTGAATTCGTCGTTAGAAATAGTTGAATTAGTTAAGGAAATAGAAAACACGGTAACTAATAATGAACCAATCTCATTTGCTTTGTTATGTGAAATAGATTTGTTTTGAAGTCGCACTTACGCATTCATTTCTATGTTGATAAGTGAATATTTTCTCGAATTCGTGATACACAATCATTTATCATATTACAGTGATTTCTTTGGTATTATGCCATATAAAACGTCAATTTAACTAATCGAAATTTCTCAGCTTTTAACCAGTAGGGTAAGAGTATTGTAGTTGGTATACCGTATTCGCGAGTAAACAAACACATAAATAATCAAATGATTCAGGTTGTAAGAAAGAGAAAACTTCAAAATGTTGACGTACAGCATCCACATATAAAGTTGTTCAATCTTTATACACAGACAAAAAAGTGAGTAGTTCAGTGACAAGGTCTATAAATGTGGGGCTGATAGACACGAAATCAAATACATCACTTCTCTCATGATTACACTTACAGCTGGCTGACGATGACGTTTTTGCATGAAACTTATATTTAGGTTTCCTCGGCGACTTTCTTCAGCTGTCACATTACATTTGTATGTGTGTATTCATGGCGTAGAAGATATATATGGTTTTCCATCAGAGAAACTAACCATACTATTAAAGAGAAGAAATAACGTACATCAATAATGTTTCGATGGTATCTCGACTGACGTTAACACTTTGTAGAGACTTCATTCAACCCAAACCAACCAGCACATCACAGCAATAAAATCATCTTCAATTTAGAGTGTTATGACTCCTTTGTTCACAATTAACTAACAGTTAAATCATTTTGCTTTATTTCTAACCGAATCATTTATTCCATCGTTCTGTACAAAGTCAACTTGATCAAAGTTCAATGAACAGAGTAAACACTCATGATTCAATAAAAATGATTCAAATGAATTGGTGAATTTCGTTATAAATTTGTGTAATTATATAATGTTCTTTTTACGGAACATTAGAATAATTTGATGTGAGTTTGTTCATTTCTATCGAATGGTATGAGTTAAGCATGAGTTTAGATTTGTCGAAAGGTGGTATTATAAGTAGACATCATAACGATTTCGATCAGTCTTATAGGCTTACTTTAATATAGAAATCTCAGCAGAAATGAATTCATTTATCTTCATCATACGCCTCAATCACTGCCCTCATCACTCTCACCAATGCAACAAGATCTTTTCTGAAAATCAGCGGAAAGCATAATGGAGAACAGAAGTGAATAGTACATAATATGCAAAAATCATCAAATCATCAATGTGAATGTCCGGCAATGCTACAAGCAATATAGTTCATCTATATAAATAGTCGGATATAAAACTTTACCTGATATCAGTACCACATGAGGGTGGGGGAGTGGTTTGGGAAAATCTTAAAACACGACGAGTGTCGTTTGACATTATTTTCATTAGGGATCTTTAATAGTACAAAATCCATTGCATTACAACAGGGTGTTTAAGGATATGAGGAGGTTGAAACCCTCATTCTTAATGCACACATTAAGATCATCGGTATACTGAACAAGGTGTTTTCTATAGAAGATGGAGGTTGTCCATACTTCGATTGTATGGCATCCACTTTTCAAACACAAATATGTCCAAGTGAAAAAAATAGCTTAACGTAAGAAACCACATACTTCCATTTGAGTATCATTTATGGGGATGATTGGATGGGTCATTGTTGATTATATTCACTAAAATGAGTGCATTAACGTTGATGGCCTTAGAACACGGTATACAGTGAGCAGCTAACGTAAATCTAATGAGATCAGTTTTCATGGACTTTTGATTTTATAATTAATCTCATAAAGACCATACAGCAAATTAGTCAGATGAAATTCAAATCCTGTCCATGAATCCCTACCTGTTGAAATACAATGAACAAGGAAAGAAATAGACATGTAAATGGATATGTAATGTTTTATGTAATCCATGAAATTGATTATTTCCATTACTGTATTGTTAATTCTTACTCATATCAGTTATAATTGGAAATGCTGATTGTTAAAGGTGAATTTTCAAAGGTGAATTGTTCACGAGTCTCCATTGCAGATAGTTCAATGATGATGAATTTCGCATTTGGTGATGCGTCAACGATAACCAATCAGAATAATCTTAATTGCATGTAAGATGTATATCTTGACATTTGACAGATTCAGCTTTGAAAGAAATAAAGATCCACTTGTTTTCAGTGGCTTCTTATTAACGTAAGTTTTGTATATTTAAAATACTACATTTTGTGTATAACTATTATGCATCATTTAATGAACAGATTAATGCACTGTGATAAGACATTTGATTCATGTTTGACAAGAATATTATGATCGAGGAAGAGAAAATTAGTATGTTTCTTCACAGTGCACAGCAATTTCATCGTGTGTTAAACCAAATCATAATAAATGATCATACTGAAATGCATGAAATGAGATAATCAGGACGACTGCTCATTAAGTATTCCACTCATCGATTATTTGGTCAAGTAACATATACTTTCAAAAATGTCGAACTGTGGTGTAGTGGAACTTGGTAAACCATTTCATGCATACATATTATGTAGAACATTTGACGCACATCACTATGGTCTATTATATCTGTGAGATTATGATGTTTTACATTGTTTTCTTTCGATTTTTAGATTGATCGGTTTAGTTCTTGGATTAATAATAATGTTTAATAACAAACTACATTCTACATCTACGAAGAACAGTATCTTCATTGTGATAACCGTCAGTTGAATATTGTTTAAAATTACCTTCATAACAGTTTCATCCTACTCTCTATTATATTTAGTGTATGTCTGTTTGTTGAATAGTAAAAACCTTATCATGTTCGTTTGATAACGGTGATCGAGATCAAAGAATGTTTGAAGGTTGACTTGAGCAGATGATTTTCAATGTTATATTTTGAGATATCATTATGTTTAGAGATCCAGTTTCTATATTTTCACTGATTTCATAAAAGTGTCAACGTATATAACTCAGATCACCAATGGTCCTGTTCAAAAATGATCTATAAGAATTCCTCGTTTTGTGATGGAAATAGTATAACAATAAACAATATCAGTCAATGTCATAGATAAATCAGAAATATGTAAACGTGGATACACATCACACCGGTACATTACACCCTCATCTATGTTTGTTGTTACAAACATTTGTAAGATGTGGAATTGGTTTTAAACACAGAATAACTAAACATATTGGATTTCTGTCATTTAAATTTGTATAACTATCCACATACTTTGTATATCACTGAACTAGTGTTCTGTGGTACACAAGTCATCATTTAGTGCTTCGAGTCGCAGACATTACCAGCTGTCATAGTTTTTGGTTTACCCAATTTAGTATACTTTACACCAGTTAGGTGATAAACCTCACATAACGTGGTCATGTGTACTGGATGGGGGAATAAGCTGGGAAAATATTTCGCGTTTGTCATTATGATAGACTTACATAAAGATTCCTTTTCATGTGTTTGTATCCATATATATTCACTTTAAAGCATTTCAATCGAATGCAGGACAGTGAGCATTATTCTTTCATTATTTGTCCAATTGTCGACCAGTTCAACTAATGGTAATTACATAATGATAATTTGAAACTAACTTTTTCCAATTCAGATGATAATTATGATTGTTGGTTTTGCGTTACTAATTTCATGTACAAACTGGTATGAAGTAATTATTTCTGCATTTGTGGCTAATGTGTTCACTATCTTGGCCATTTTATTGAGTCTAAATCTACATGGGCCAGAAAGGCAATGGAAGACAGTTTTGTTTGCGATTTGTGGTGTAATTATTGTAACTGGATTCATACTCCTGGTTTTGGGGTTGATATTGAAAGTGGTAAGTTTTTCTGACCATTGATTACAGGTAAAATGTTTCCTACACCAAGATAGAAATACATTTTCAAATTAATATTTCATTGAGGAATATTTCAAACAAATATTTGTTTTCTAATACATGTTCAGCTGCTTTGCACGTTTATTCGCATCAGTTTGCGGTCATTCTAAATACAACAATGTTTTACACCATCATGTTTTCATCACGTATAAAAATTGCGAAACGAAATCACTTTACATATAGTTTAAAATTGGTAAATATCTGCAATCTGATGTGGAATTTACACTGTCTGTTGTTAATGCAAAGCATCATGAAATAATGTTATCATTTGAGAAATTGATTCTCAGAGTTAAATATTTTGATTGTGTATCAATGGTAATTAAAGCAAAATCAGAACAATACATCTTCAACCAATGATTTCACATTCGTTGAAGTGATAATTTGAATTTAACATGACACAGTCCATGACGAAACTAATTCCTTGTTTATAAAACTGTCAAGCATGAGACAGAATTGTTACATCATGACAAAATTCAGGATAACTGACTTATTAAACTCTTACGTGAAGTCAGTCAGTCAGCTACATATTACTTTAAAATCGGTTGAGTAAATTCGTAGAGTAATACTGTCTCTTCCCTGGTATTGATATAAATACATCATGAATTGAAGTGAATTGTTTTCTTTCCTTTATTTTAGAAGGGTTTACTCGTTGCAACATATGTTTGTTGGTGTTTTGTAACGTTTATTGTAAGTTCTGAATAGATAAAAAATGTAAATACAAAAAAACCGTTCATTGATTATTATGCTTTTATAGATAAGTTTCTGTAGAAATTATAACTTTGAATTATTAATGTTTTCTATGCAGAACATTCAATAAGAATTCATCATGAAGCACTTTGAATGATGGCTGAAAGCGCAACATTGTATGGTGAAGTATTTAACACTTAGTTCGTTTCTTTAGTTGAATGACACAATAATTGACAGATGAAAATACAAGGCACTTACTGTTCAATTGTTATGTATGAATGTTGAGAAATTACTAAATTGATAACCCTTTATATGTAAAGACCAATTATTTCACTGATACATATATTAGTATGCATGCATTGATGATAGCGTAATCATCTACATTTTCACAATTACAGGTGATGATATACACAATATATTATCTGAACAGACACCGCGATGAAGAACATTTGTCTACACTCTACAGTTTATTCTTTGTGATTTATGAATATTTCTTACTTGTCATCAATGTACAATTATCCTTGAATGCAATCATCGATTGCCAATCAAAAAATGAGAGAACTTAATGAGAAAATGATTAAACACGAATACTCTATGCTTTTCCATTGAATGTTTTAATAAGTTTAAAGATATTCTCATATATACACGAGGCATGTTTTGAAAATTATTATCAACTGCTTTGTCATTTATAATAGATTTTCTGTTCAATAAATCTTCGTCTGTTGGTATAAATTTCTGGATTGAGGCACATTTTGATTGTACTTGAACTTAAAACAAGACAAATTAGTTGGAATAGTTTGTACAATGATCGTATTTTCCAACTACACATGTTTCGTGACTTTGACAAATAACGTATGTTTCAGTGATTGGTTTTTTTGACTGACGCTGTTTGAGATGGTTGGTTTCAATCAATCATCCAGACAACATGAAACGCCCTTATTCTAGCTAAAAGTATACAAACAAATTCTCCCTCTTATTATTAGTGTATAGAGCCTTTCAAACTCCGAATTCAATGTCTCTCGTTGACCGTAACTTTCTGTCGTCTGCTTTTTAACCTGAACTCTCCTCTATGACACTTCTGTTTGATAAGTTGTACCAATTTCAGTATGTTCAGTGGCTGCAAATTGACCTGATTTCCAGCTTTTTGGAAATGCGCTAGTTATTCTTGCATATGTTCTGTCTGACATGTCAACTTTCACCAAGTCGAACAAGTATCGATATCTGTCGACTTCCATTGATATGAGCTAACATTGATCGCAAAGTTTGACAGTTATTTGAATTTTATGCAAACAAAGACGAGGAGTGAGTAGTTTTGTCCGTTTTAATGCTCTCTACAGTTATCCAGCTTACTCTTGTAATATAATTTTTTCACTTTGTTGTTCGTCATCAACTTATTCGAATAGTATGGGTTGGTTTGAAAGGGATCATCGGTTTATATATTGCGCTAGTGGAAACTGATTGTTGGCTTCCTCATTCAATTTCGTGTTTGATATTGAGTGCGATGACAGTTGTTGATGGCATTTGTGAAAATCTGTCTCCTTCAAGTACATTCAATTGATTTTGCTAATCATGCATCCTGGTGGTAGGTGTGATAGTAATTCACGATATTGTGAGTAAAGCAATTTTTTATGCTAGACGTTCTTAATGATGGTAGTGTTAGTTCTCGAAGTTTCAGCTCCGTACAGTTGAACTAACTGCCTTGTCGTTCGTACTGAAGATTCTGACTATGATATTGGTTGATAGTTGTTTAGAGTTGAATATGTTCTATAACTATAAGAATTCTGTCCTATTTTAGTAAATCCGTGCCTCCACATCTACATGAGATCCTTTTTGTTCATTGATGATAATGCTGAACAAGTACGTGAATGTTTTCACCTCCTCCACAATTTCTCTCTGATGTGTGATCAACTTGGTTGGTGTTCTTCTTGTGGCATATGTGTATCTTACTTTTTTCTCTGTTAATATTGCAGCCTATAGATTCAGGGACTTCTGCTAGGTAATACGAATAAAAAGGAGTAGAATGAAGTGAATGAAAAGGAACTGACAAATTTTATTTTTCGCAAATTGTTGTTACATTGTGAACAATAAATTACATTTCAGAAAGTACACAGTAAAGGACTAATTGTAGAAATCGATTGTATATTTCATTGCCTCGGTGACTCCATGTCTGAAGCTCAGAGAAAATGGTGGGAATAACGTCCACCACTTACTTAAATTGGAACCGAAATCTAATAATGAAACAGAATAACACAATGAAACGTTTGTCACTGATACGTGACATAAATCATTTTGCAACAAATTCAAGTTGAAATTGTATAAAGCAGTCAGCAATAATGACAGGTATCAGTATTACTTCTGTTGGATGTTTTCACTGAAGCTCTACTCCAATCATAAAACGAAAACACCACGCACGGTACTATGAACGATCAGTGTGACAATAATAGATGTGTTGTAACTGAAAAACATATACCTGCAGCGATTAAACAAATGTAGTGATGTCAACTGTACCACTACAACTGGTTTTATAGCTTTCAGTAGTTTTGATCAATCTCGTTTAAAGGAGTCAAGAAATGTGAAGCCTTCAATTTGTCAAGATTAAGTCGTCTCCGAATCGAAATGAGAAAACTTCATATTGTCTCACTTAAACATCTGTTCCAAACAGTGTATATCATACTTGCATGTGTCTGGCTACTTTTTAAATTACTTGTAAAATCAATGATTGAATGTACTACAAATATTGTTGATTAAGAAAGCAGTTTTCATATTCTACATTAATGATTGATCTTGGTTTGACAACTACTGAGGAAGAAGCACTAGACTTCCGTTTCGTTTGAGTATGAAACTCTTTGAAAGTGCTCGCACTTAATACCACTGAGATCAAATGTTGGAAATCCATGGTTATATATATCCTTTTTCTCTTAAAATTCATGCTCGGTGACGTAATGAGATGGGTTTAGAAAGTGTTCTCTTTGTGTGCATCTTGATCTGAAAACTCACATGTTTTAATAATGATCATCAAACGTATAATGTGATATTACTTTCGGTTTTGAAATCCTTGACAATAAAACTATAACACATATAAACGAACAATATTGTTTTCAATTAGATCATCATCAGGTTTTACTCTAATATACATGAATATTTATACGAAAATTTTTTAAACCAATCAAGGCATTATTAGTCAATAATCACAATGAAATAGAATAAGTCACTACACATAATAAGTAAAAGTATAAGCATAGTAGGAAGACAAGTGCACTGATAATAGTAAGAATAATAAAATACAATAATAAAACTCTTATCAATAGTTAATCGTTGGAAATAGAAGGTCAAATAAACATGGGTAAATAGACTAGGAATAGTAATCACAAAACATTAAAATCATTACGTAATAAGATGTGTGTAAATAGTTAGATAGCGAAGAATACAAAGAGGCGGAAAATTACAAACAAATAATGGATGTGAAAATAAGGTTAATGATAACACAAATAGAATAAAATAAATAAAAAAGGAATTATCAGAAGGGGTTTGTGGAGATTTTAGAAATTTTCACAAATTTAAATCATGAGTCAGTTGAAGCTAGACCACCATTGAAAACCTGGAAGCACTGGACGGCCGTTTCGTCCTAGTATGGGACTCCTCAGCAGTGCGCATCCACGATCCCGCACCATGCGGGGCTCGAACTCAGGACCTACTGGCTTCGCGCGCGAGCACTTAACCATTAGACCACTGAGCCGGCATCCAACGGTGTTAATGTCTAACTTCAACCAATCCACGAAGTCGCGCCACCGTACACCATTGTCTTCAGTGAGCTGATATCTCACAACAGACCTGGTTGAACTCCACTGGTAACGGCTTCCCACTAGAACTCCAGGAGTATCTCTTGAAGTCAGTCACTAGTGAGCAGATGATTATTATCAGAAGGGGTTTGTGGAGATTTTAGAAATTTTCACAGATTTAAATCATGAGTCAGTTGAAGCTCGCGCGCGAAGCCAGTAGGTCCTGGGTTCGAGCCCCGCATGGTGCGGGATCGTGGATGCGCACTGCTGAAGAGTCCCATACTAGGACGAAACGGCCGTCCAGTGCTTCCAGGTTTTCAATGGTGGTCTAGCTTCAACTGACTTCTGACTGATCTTCTCTTGTCGACTAGCGATGTCTACTCAAACGAAGGATAAGTTACCTGAGTTGGCCTCTTCCATGTGCATTTACAAATTCAGCTGCTCCTGTGGAGATAGCTATATAGGGCGTATTACCAGGTAACTTAACCAACGAATGAGTGAACATCTACCAACTTGGTACATAAAGGGCCAGAGAAAATCTATTCGGAGTTCTATATTGGCAAATCTTATTGATAGCGGTCATGCAGTAGATAAATCGAAATCTTTTCGAGTTATCTATCGTATACCTCCATCATTTCACGACGGAGTCCGTTCCCGTCTCCTATATATAGCTGAAGCCATTGGAATTCGTACATATAACCCCAATTTATGTGTACAGAAGAAATACGTGACGCCCCTATCCCTTCCATGGCCAGTTATAACTTAAATAACAATTCTTTTTATTTATTTATTTTATCATTATCATTATTCATTTTATTTCATTTGTGTTATCATTAACCTTATTTTCACATCCATTATTTGTTTGTAATTTTCCGCCTCTTTGTATTCTTCGCTATCTAATTATTAACACACATCTTATTACGTAATGATTTTAATGTTTTGTGATTACTATTCCTAGTCTATTTACCCATGTTTATTTGACCTTCTATTTCCAACGTTTAATTATTGATAAGAGTTTTGTTATTGTATTTTATTATCAGTGCACTTGTCTTCCAACTATCAACTTGTACTTTTACCTGGAAACTTAGTCTATTACATTGTGATTATTGACTAATATTGCCTTGATTGGTTTAACATTTTCGTTTAAATATTCATGTATATTAGAGTAAATCATGATGATGATCTAATTGAAAACAATTGTTCGCTTATATGTGTTGTTCTAATTTTCACAATGGGAATCTTCAATATAATAAAACTATAACTTTGTAAATGAAAGTAGTGATGTAGCGTACGAACAAATCAAGTTCAGATGGAAGGCAAACTATCTATGAAATACACACCACTTATCCTTACTATTTTGTTCATTTATGTTTATTAGGTATTCCGCCAATCAAGCTGGTTGTAGGCTATCTTCTATTGATTCGTTTCTGGTCTCCGATCCTCGTATATGATGGTCAAATGAATTCTCATTCGTGAATAACGGAATCAAGGAATCCAAGGCAAGAAAGAATTTTCATTTCGAATATTACGTACGATCTTTGATCAAGACAAAAGAACACAGAAATGAAACGACACGCAGTGGGGATAGCGTTTAAGTCAGTTGAGTTTAATCAAACGTTAATCTATATTTTCGCCAATTAAAAATAAGCTACAGACGTGTGATGAGTAGAATAAGCAACGCTAGCACATAGGCTCACTTAAAAACAGTCAAGGTTGATGAGTGAATAGTTGGCACTGTCAAAATGTTACCCTAAAAGGGTTAATAAATTGACTTGTCTAAAAGCCAGAATAAGTTATATGTATATAATTGTACAAGTGTAAACTACCTTTTCTTCCTACTCCAAACTGATATACAGTGATGAATGAATGTTCATCGTATTCTAACTCATTTATGTCTTACCTGCTCCGACGTCTTTGGACTCATCGAATAAAAACAAAC